TGTCTGCTTCTGGACTGGAAGATGGTACTTTATGTGGCTGCCTGACTGTGTTTTTTGGTACACATAACTGAACCCTTAGCTTTGAGACAGGGTCATTTTGGGAGGCCTCACCCTCTGTTCGGTTAATGATTCCAATTCAATGATTCAGAGTACGGAAATGTGAACCCAAGGGCTATAAACAAAAAAAAATTTGTCTCTTCAAAATCTTGGTGTCTTATACTCCAATGCATCTTATACTGTACTCTGAATTTATGATAGGATTTGAGAGATCTGGGGAATAAATTGATATTCCCAAGGGTCTGAAGGCTTTTATTACATTTCCAGTAAGTTTTGAACAAACAAGATTAGTTTTTGTTTATATCCCTTATATCCCTTGGGTTCACATTTCCGTACTCTGAATCATTGAATTGGAATCATTGACCGAACAGAGGGTGAGGCCTCTCTAAATGACCCTTTCTCAAAGCTAAGGGTTCAGTTATGTGTACCAAAAAACACAGTCAGGCAGCCACATAAAGTACCATCTTCCAGTCCAGAAGCAGACAGAAAAAACATGCTACATATTTCAGGGGGCTAGTGAGTGCAACTGTCCTAATAATTTCATAAGAAAAGGGATTGGTGGATTCCCCTGGGTTTCCCTTTCTTTCCCATGAATGCTACTTCAGACGAAGTGGTGGGACAGAGATGGTATGTGTAGTAAAGGACTTAGAACAAATAGTCAAGTCAACTTATGGTCATTATGAAGATATGAAGATAGTATGTAACTGTGACCTGTCATTTGGGTGATTTCTGGATAAGAGTTTAGCACAGTCATGAAAGAACATTAGATCCTTCTCAAAAGCAAACTTGTCAGCTAACGGATGATGAGGGAAAGGTCGGAAATGGGTGGAGTAGTCAAAAACAAGAGAGTTCCACCCTCAAATAGCATCACAAGGGTGTTGGCAAATGGCTGTGGAATAAGCAAAGTGGCACCAGAACTTTGGCACAGACCCACCAAAGTAATAAAAGCTTCTCTGTCCTTTATTGGCAGAAGCAATTGAAAACTTGTGTTTGTGATGAAAGCAGCAACACACAACTGGAAGATTGTGGCTCTCTTTCACAGTTGAAATCAAGCTTCTGAGTAATATTAGCTCCAAAGAATGCTAGTACTTTTTTTTAATGTGTATCTAACACTGTTTCAGAAGAGCATTGCATAGGTCCCTTTTCCAGGGTCTCCTGCAGCCCAGGTCAAAATGGCCACAGAGGTTAAACAGGCCTGCAATAACCTAAAATAACAGAAGTGGGATAGATCTCAATCCTCAATCTCATCAGCAAGTACATGTAGTAAGCTAGATCTTATCTATGCAAAGGTTCTGTCAGCAGAAGAGGGAAAACATTACTTTAAAACTTGAAAAGCTGAAAATGACTTGGCTGCCCTTGTTCAGAGCTGGGAATAAGATGACGGCAATACCTTGAGGGCATGGCATGACTCTTCTCCTCCCACCCTATCCATTACTGTCAAACGTTTATGATACTGCAAGATTTCAGAATAGACCCTAAATAATGGCTATTGTTGGAATCACAGGTGATTTTTAAAAAGTCGCATTACCTGTATGTCACCTACGTCAACATTCCTTTTAACATCATAACGTATGATGAAATCTCCATCTAGAAGAGTCTGTTCAGATTCAGGGTTTTTCCTTTGTTGACTTAAGGTTGGTTTAAATAAAATATGAGCCTGAATATTAAAGACAAATAAAATAATAAATCAGTCAAACTAACAATACAACAGTGATTTCTTGTTAAGAGTTTTCTAAGGAGCTTTGCGAATTTTGGGTCAAATCCAGTCACATACCTTGGTTTCCTCCTGTGTCTTTACAAGAGCATCACTTATTTCATTGTTCAAGAAGCTGCCTTCTATTGCCAAGAAGGATATGCCTTGTGGCTCAAAGATGTGAGTATCAATCTAAGCATAAGCAAAAGCAAAAGATGTGATTCTACCTTCTAAAGATGACCTGGTCATGACAGATGGACAAAACTATTGATGGAGATTTTACCTGAAAGTCTTTCACCAGTTGTTTGGGCTTGACTTTGATGATCAGTTCATAATTCCCTAGCTTTCGATCAAGTAATTGCTCATAATTCAATTCAAAGTTAACTTTACCTGCTGCTGCAACATTAACTGAAACACTAAACTTTTCTAATTTTCTTCCAGTTGATCTATAAATGGAAAAAAAAGTATAATTTAGGTATTTTGTTTCTTCTAAGTGCTTGCGAACCTGCTGCTTGATCATTTTTGCTACGATTTCTGCAGGTGGTCTGTAGGTTCCAAGGTCCCCCTCTTTAAAAGATCAAAAAACATGGTCTCTTCTTCAATCTTATGGCACTTTCCCTGTATTCCAGCAATTCTCAAAGATTACAGTCCATAGTTCTGAGATCATATCTGTCAATTTCTTTAACATCCAGAGACTAAATTCACTCACAGCAGCTAAATGTTCTGTCACCATTTTCTTACCAATTTTAATCACTATTTATCTTCTACCCTCCCTCTCTGCTCTTTCTCCCCTTAAAGCTTGTGACAGAACCTTTTTTTTTTTTTGCTATTTTTGGCATTCATCTAAGCTTCAGATTATCAATAGGGTTCCTGAGCCATCTTTAAAAATTCATGGTTTATTACATTATTACATGGATTTTCTTATATAACGCTTTAATGCTTAAACCTTCTGAGGAATGACAGTGGAATCTAATTATCTGCATGTGCCAAGAAACAGTGGATCATATGCACTGAGTGGGTCTGGTTAAGAAAAGACATCCGCTTAAAATCAAAACTTGGGAAAACATCTTGTACTTACTTGACCAACCCAGCACTTTGACCTCGTGAAATGGCGGAATCATACTGAGCTTGAGCGGCCTTTTTCTCCCTGATTATTCCAGGGTATGTTTCTCCATCTATGGTCCTTCAAAATAGATGTTTCAAAGAATTCATAAAGGTCCAGAAAAAGAAAATGCAAACGCACGGATAGTAAGATATTTTATGAAGTGAAAGAAATACATTATTGGATTGAATATACTTTCAATTTCATTGTAATCATAATTTAGAAACAGGAACCTTTGAAGTGTTGTTAGGAAATATTCATCTGGGATGGGGGCTTGCATTGTCTTCCTTTATCAATGTAATTTCTCCCAATATGGTTTCTTATCCAATTCAATCAATTGTGGAAGTAGGATTGTACAAATTTCAATGCTGAATACACTTTAATCAATCAATGTTATTTTGCTTTGAATGAAAAGTTTCTTCCAGATGAGGTCTGTATTCAATGTTCTGAAAATATTTCCCAGTTCAAATCTGTCTTATCATTCCAGATGTTGAGCCATACTTTAGTGGATTTCCCACCTAAATTGCTCCCATAGACGCACTTAGTAAAAAGGTTTGTTTAAAAGATTTATGGGTCTCAGTGTATCTACCAGGAGATTTATTATGTAGTAGAATTTTTCTAATCCTATAAACATTGTAAACAAGAAATAAGGAGACATCCTGTGAACCATTGTTTTTCTTAACTTTGGGAACTTTAACATGTGTGGACTTCAAGTCTCAGAATTCTCCAACCAGCATGGAAGCTGGCTGGGGAATTCTGGGAGTGGACGTCCACACATATTAAAGTTGCAAGGCTGAATAAGATTGTTGTATATATTTACTCCTTTCTTTCTATGGTCCTCAGTGGGAGATTGACTGCCAACTCTTACTCAAATTCTGAAATGCTCCATCTTTTAAAATGCCTAAATGGTGCTTACATGCTGAAGTTTGTGATGAAGGCTTTCTTGGGTAGCTCCACATCAAAAAGAGCCTCCTTGGATTCATTTGCCCTGTTGACAATTCTGCTGGTGATGACTGTGTGGGCATATCGTGACATAACTTTGCAGTCAATGTGCAGGCTGTAGATTTCAATGGCATTCTAGGGGAAGAAGAGAGAAAGCCTCTATCAGTTTCTTTGCTGGAAATTGTTACTAACAATTGAACAAAGACTAAAAGTATTAGTAGCAAACACCACACAGAGTTACTTTTATAATAAGCAAAAATAAATCTATTTTTATATGATAATTTGCTGTAATAAAAATGCAAGATCATTCTTTTCAATTATTTGATTATTTTATATTGTTTGAATAAATTATANGGATTCTCTGTACTGGTTAGCTGCCAAGGACCTGTCTGTCTGTTATGCTTGGCTTTCAGCCGCCGAGGTTTATGCTTCCTGTTAATTAAAGTGCTGTGAAATTCCAGTTAAGCTTGTCTCAGCATTTGTTACTGGACAGAGGAGGGGGTCAGAACACTGGAGTGTGGGCACGAAGACAATTTCAGCACACAGGGACCAAAAGGTTAGCCCTCCCTGTTCTAGGCTGTGGTCTATATGGGAAAAACCCAGAAACTTCAGAAGAACATAAGCAAATACCTCCACATTTTTCCCAAGTAAAAATATCTAGAAATGTTCAGGGTCTGCTGAATTTTTGGCGCCTTGCTGGCCGTTAGAACATTCTTCCTCGGGTTAGAGGATTACAGTTTAGGAAAACCAAGATTTCAAAACAAAACTGCTTAATACTGATCTGCATACGGAGCCCAGCTGGAAAAGAGAGTCATCATTCATGCATTCGTTTCTTGGACAGCTCTCTGTCTTCACTGCATTTACGACAAAAACAACAACATCGGAGGGAATTTTCAATACAGGCAGTCCTCGACTTACAACCACAATTGAGCCCAAAATGTATGTTGCTAAGCGAGACACTAGCTAAGTCAGTTTCGCCCCATTTATTTTTTTGCTACAGATTTTAAGTGAATCAGGTTCAAGTTGTTCGGTTAGAAAAATGGTTGTTAAATGAATCTGGCTTCCCCACTGACTTTGCTTGTCAGAAGGACACTGCGACCGTCGCAAATATGAGTCGGTGGCCAAGCACCCCCCCCACCCGGGGGAGGGTCTTCTCTGTGGCTGCTCCGGCCCTCCGGAACGATCTCCCCGTGGAGATTCGGACCCTCACCACCCTTCAGGCTTTCCGCAAAGCCGTCAAGACCTGGCTGTTCAGGCAGGCCTGGGGCTGATGAGTTCCCAGCCCCACTCGAATTGTTGCGGCTATTGAGGAGTTTTTTAAATTTGTATTTTGTTTCTGTCTTGTTTGTTTTCTTTGTATTGCCCCCCCTTCCCTATTGGTTTGTTAGCCGCCCTGAGTCCCCCTGGGAATAGGGCGGCATACAAGTTTAATAAACTATAACTATAACTAATTTTATTCATGTGACAATGGAGATGCTGCAACGGTCATAAGTGTGAAAAGCAGTCATCAGTCGCTTTTCTTCAGCACTGTTGTAACAGCCACTAAACAAGCTGTTTTCCCGAAGGTGCTTTTCCAAAAGGCAACTGGACTCCCTTTGTTCGTTGAAAACGTTTCGCTTCTCATCCAAGAAGCTTCTGAAGATCAGTCAAAACTGAAGAAGGTTCTTGGATGAGAAGAGAAATGTCTTCAAGGACAAAGGAAGTCCAGCTGCCTTTTGGCAAAGAGGCTTTTTTCAAGAGGCAACTGGACTTTCTGGTTTTTCTTTGAAGGCATTTCGCTTCTCATCCAAGAACCTTCTTCAGCTTTGAGTGGATGGTGGGGAACGGAAGGATTCATCCTCCTTGCAGACAGCTGGTCATTTGCATCCTTTTAGAGAGTCATTGAGGCCACTTGGAGGTTTATAGCTGTGTCCTCAGGGTCACTTGGGTGCAAGGGGGTNTGTTGATGAGTTTTTTAATCTGTTTTTTGTATCTTGTTTGTCTTGTTTGTTTGCTTTGTATTGCCCCCCCCCTTTCCTATTTTGGTTTGTTAGCAGCTCTGAGTCCCCTTGGGAATAGGGCGGCATACAAGTTTAATAAACTAACTAACTAAACTAACCTCTCAATGAAATCGAGTTTGACACCCCTGCTCTAGAAAGAGTGCAAAGAAGAGCAACAAAGATGATGAGGGGGCTGGAGGCTAAATTGTATGAAGAATGGTTGCAGGAATTGGATACATTTACTCTAGTGAAAAGAAGGACTAGGGGTGATATGATGGCAATCGTTCTATATTTGAGGGGCTGCTACAAGGAAGGAGTGTCAACCAGGGGTGAAATCCTCCTGGTTTGGTCTGGTTCGGCCAGACCGGTAGGGACAATTGTCCTTGGTTCTGCGAACTGGTAGTAAAAAAAAAGCTTCCGAGGATCATACAGCTCAGCTGTGAGACACATGATCCACAGAAGCTTCCCCCACCACACTTTTTAAAGCATTTTCCCTGCCAGTCAAACCAACAGGGAAAAATGCTTTAAAAAGCTAAAACAATAGCTGAAAGTGAAAGAAAAAGTTGGACACACCCACCCAGTCACATGACCCCCACACACACACACCAAGCCACACCCACAGAACCGGTGGTGGGAAAAAATAGATAAGTGTCAACCTATTTTCCAAAGCACCTGAAGGCAGGACAAGAAAGGTCATAACATAATCACAACTCACTTTACAACTGCCTTGTTTAACAATGGATCTCAGATGTGATCACAAATCAAGAACTACACGCAATTCATGCATTTGGAAAGGTCAAGCACAACCCTAATGTGGCCCTCAATGAAATCAAGTTTGACATCCCTGACAAGTGTTTGATGTAAGGTTCATGTGTGCCATTTGGACTCTGATTGTGAAATTCTGACCTCTAGACTGGCTGGCTACCCTAACCCAGCTCTCGGAAACTTGGACTGGATTTTGACTATTCTTTTGCACGGTCCTATTAGAAGCAACCATCCAAGCAAGTGCTTTTCAGGGATTCTGTTTAGGTTTGCATTTCTTGTCTGCTATTAGTTCCTTGACCTTGAGTAAATGACTGCCATAGCAACTGAGTGTGTATGTTTTTGCATGTGTATATTTGGAACCAGAAACAGGGCACACATGCTGCATAAATCCCTAAGGATATCTCTGGTTTTGAATCCCTGCAAGAATAAAATTATTAATGTGTAGAAACTCCCGTATTCCCATATGGGCAATGAGATGGAGCAGAATGCTGTAGAAAACAAAGGAGACAATAAAGTAAATAACCTCTACTATAAAGCTGATTACATTTTAGGGAACTGTTGCTGATTGTCATTTTTAATTTTAATCTGAATACAAGCTTTGCACGCTGCTAAGAAATGTGTCTGCTTTATAATTTGTCTCCTAACTGCATCTTCATTCTCCTTTTTTGCACTTGTTTGGAAATAGCAAAAGTGAAAATTAAGTGGTAATTAGGAGAAACAATATCCACCACTCTGCAGCATTTCAAATCCTTCAAATTCAGGCCAACGGAAATAATGTCAGGATTTTCTTTTCTTCTAAGGCAAAACATTGTAAACATGAGGCATCTTTAATTTCAGAAATGTTATGTTTTCCCCAAACATCTCAAAAGTCTGGTATTCTAGTTATCTGCCAAGCTCTGTTGAAGATGGCATATTTGCCAATTTTACATCCCTGAGATGGAAGCCGCGAGCGCCAATAAATGACAAATAGTTTAATTTTCTTCCTTGCAGATAAAGAGTTTCCTATGTAATATCGTAGATTAATTTGGCCGGTGAACACTTAAAATGCGAAAAGCCGTGGAACTCATGAAACATAATTCTCTCTGATGGGGACCCTTGAAAAATAAATATCTCCCCTCCCCAAACATGCATTTGATCCATGAAAAAAAGTTTTCATCTCAGTTCCTAAAATGTATCCCATAAATCACTTGTAGAGATAAGCAAGATTTTGCAGATGAAAACATAATAGAATACATCCTGTTTGGCAGCCAAAGAAGAGGAGGGGAGTGGAAAGCGCTTTAGATAGATAATCTAAAGAAATAACTCAATTTACCAAGATTTGCGCCAAGATCTCCCACATGCTCCGATGTAATGAGAGATCCAGAAAACGAATTGTTGGATTTCTGCGGCATGAGACACATTAATAGAAGAATTGACTTCCAACTCTCCTTGTTTTGGACAGACACAAAGAGAAGTTCAGAAAGAAAAACTGAACACAATTATTTCTTTCCAACATGCATTTTCTCAGGTGTTCTTTTTGTCCCTCCTGACAAAAGACGTCAGGCTAGGTCTTTTTGAAATATATTGCTAAAGATTAAATACAACTAGCTTTTTACACCTACCGGCTCCTTATCTGAATGGAAGCCAAAGGTTCTTCATCTCCACCATAGCTGAAAATTTTTGGGTAGAGTTTTCGAGTAGAGAAAAAAAACAATTGTCAAGGAAATCTGGGAAGTGTCAGGTTTCCTTTCCAGACTGGATAATATCTTTTTAAAAAATGTTTGAGGTGTCCCCAATCCTAAAATCTAGTAAGATAAGTGATGCATGTATTGATCAGTGAAGCTGGAAATACAGTTGGAGGGATCTTTCAAAAAATGGTAAAAAGGAAGTTTTTACTTTGCATATAAGTCTGTAGAGATTCTCGGTCATCCAAGTCAGGGTTGTCCCAAAGATGCTTTTTCAGGAGGCACCTGGACTTTCTGGGGTTTTTTTTCTTTTGAAGATGCTAATGCAATCAAATGAGTCCAGAGGTATTTCACAAGAAGAGTCCTCCACTGGCCTGCTCGCAATGGAGGGTTCCACCACAAATCCGCGAAGCCCTTATCCGCGGAGACATAAGCGCGAAGTCTAATTCACGCTGTTCTAAGCGCTAAGGAAAAACGCGACCCTACCGCGATGACATAATCGCGGAGGGCAAATTCGTGCATTCCCAAGCACTCAGAACCCTAAACCTAACCCTAAACCTAACCCTAACCCTAAACCTAACCCTAACCCTAACCCTAACCCTAAACCTAACCCCTAAACCTAATCCTAACTCTTA